CCCTTGATCATATCGGCCACTTTTCTTTGAACTCTGTGGCCACCTTCCGTAAGCGTTGTACAATCTGCCTCCCCCGTCGAAGACAGTTGTGTGGTAAGGCCCAAGTGCGATTAGAGCCCCAGAATATATTTGGTCTGAAAAATCGTCTGAGTAGCACCCCCCCAATCGATCCGCTATCGGATGCGGTCTCCCCACCCTAGTGGTCCGGGAGCAAGTAAAGGCCAGGCGGTTAACACATCGGAGATATCAAGGAAAGGCCAGGGTTGAGTATATCCCCTGAAGAAGTTGGTTATAAGTCCACCCTCGACCTAGTCGACCGAGTAACCATCTACCCGCCTACCGAGTGAAGTATACCCATTCGAGGCACCCCAAGCTAGATTTATCTCAAGGCCGACATCACATCTCAACCAAGTCCTCCGAAGAGTACAACTTGCCAGCCGACGGCTACACAAGGTGAGAGAAGGTCTATAAGCGGCATTGAAGTACCCCCTCCGATAGTCGGCAGTCCGGCACAGTGAGTGGCTTGGGGTCTCATTACGCAGTTTTGAGATCCCACTCCACCACAATGGTGCGCTTGCCCGGATCTTCGGAAGACGCGGGATATCACCGCGAGTCCCAAGAAGATGAAGATGCTCAAGCAAAGATTGAGGAAAAGACCAGAGAGTCACTGGAAGACCGATCGCCAGTGACTACACAAGAAAACAACAAAGGATCGAAGGACCGACCGGACCTTGGGAGAGGTCCGGTCAATATGGTCAAGGTTAAACTTATTAAAAGAAACCGAAATACCCTCCCTATGTCCTCGTCGAGGACACCTTGGGTCATGACATTTATCATGCCCCAGAGGACAATCAGTCGAAGGTGCAAACCGATAGACTATTGTCCCCAAAAACTAAGAACATACAAAAACTACAAAAACATGATCGCTATGTCCAAGCCAACCAAGCTCCAAAAAAGAAGGCACCAGGTGACACCAAGTCGGTAGGTTCCTCGACCTCAGGACCCTTTTCTTGGTCGTGCTGACGTGACCATGGCCTACCATCGACTCAAGCTTAACGCAATCCTGGAAAGTGGCCCTGTCACCATAGCCGTCGAGACCCGACTGATGGGTCAGCTCAGTGGACCTGTGTCGACCCTTCCCAAGCTGAGGACGGTGATAGACGCGATCACCGCGCTCATGAACCTTCTTCGCGAGGCGGGTATGGTTGCAGGACGGTTCGAGCCTGAAGGCTTGTTTTGCCTGGGGTTCAACAATATCAAGACCACGTTAGAAATTCTACACAAACGTCTGGGTATACTGGTGGGACAACCCCAGTACTACTAGACTCACCTCCTATTACCGCTGCAAAAGCACCGTCTGACGAGAGCCAGATGACCCTGCAAGACATCTAGGTCCACCCTCGAGAGCAATGGTCGACCAAGGACCCAAGGTCTATGCGAGGTCTATCACAGACCACCTTGCCTCAGGGTCTTCAGATCCCTGCAAGGCAATCATCGCGAGGGTCGCCCGTCGCTAGTCACGTGGGCCAAATTCCACTAGGACCGACCAGCATGTCGCTGGCCAAAATGTATCCCTTCTCGGAACAGGTAGGTAGACTTAGTAAGTACCTTGGAAGCACGACGGAGGGTGTGCTATGTAGATCGCAAATTGAGTAGTATTAAATATGGTCCTATCTTTTAACTTCTTTGCTCTATCCTTAACCCGAGACCTGATTATTGATTTAGCTTGCCGAGGGGCTGAGGGCCGAGGGGCCGGGTGACCGCGGGTCCGAGGGGCCGGGGGTCTACCAACGAGGAACAAGAATCTACCAACGAAAGACTAGGGTCTACTAACGAGGGACCAGGACCAATCTCGAAAAGACTGGCGGTCCATCGGACTAACCGCGGTTAACTCCTCTGAATGGAGCACGCTTAAACCGTACAATATTCTCATCCAACGGTCGTCCCCGTCCTTTTTTAGCGCCCCGTCTCGCTATCCCTTACCTAACGGTCGCTTTTCCTTGGTGGGTCCCCTTCTCTTTGACCCACCGGTACTCTGGCCTACCAATTCTTGAAACGCTTCACCCCACATGACTGTTTTCTAAGGACAGTTGGGTAAGAGAGCTTGAAGAGGGTGAGTACGAGGTCGAAAAGATCTTGGAAGTACGCACTGGAAACAAGACGCAATATGGGAGACAGAAACGGAAGTTTCTCGTTTGTTGGAAAGGTTATGTAGAACCCTCATGGGTAGATTTGAATTTTGGAGCCTTACTTCGGGATTTCGAGCGTAAGGAGACAAGGAAAAATCGCTTCAAAGCGATGAAAATTCATGAGGACTAGTGATGGACGCTGAGGCATTTGGATGTTCGACCCTCGATCTTGGTCCCTAGAGGTCGACCTTGGTCCTTCGTCAGTAGACCTCGGCCCCATAAAGCTCTGAATAGCATACGTGCTAGAGCTTTGGTCTTTGTATAAAGGAAGCTGTATCTTTGATCCTGATCTCTTTGGAAACGTGGTTGTTGCAGCCAAAAAGGCACAAGCTTGTTAAGCTAGCCTTGGAAGGGTTAAGAACCCTAAGACATACAGATCTTGGAGCTAGTGTTCCTCTGCACTTAGTGCAAAAGTAGCTTTACTACGGTATCTCTGCTACACATGAAACGTTGGTAGCAGCCAGCCATTAAGTACAAACTTGTAGCTATCTCCTTCTGAATATGATAGTCGTACTTGATTGAGGCTTTACGATTACGTTATACATATCATGTACTCCATTCATTTGTATATATATTGCTGTACCCCGTTCGTATACCGGTAACGATCAGTAGTTTCCTTAAACTCACAAAGGAACTGTGAATATCCAACGTCAAGTCAAATATTTGTCTTATTTTTTCAAACTAATTCGCTTCTGACGTCCATCCATCGATTATAATGGGCAAAATCGTTGACTCAATTCGTAGTGTGTACTCGGCTCGTGCGGAAGACGCATCTGCACGTCCTACAATTTCTTTTGAATTTTTTCCTGCCAAGACAAATGCTGGTGTCTTTAATCTACTGACACGTGTGGAGGAAATGGGATTGACCCTACAGCCGACGTTTGTGACGCTTACATGGCGTTCCGCTTTTAAAGACGAGACACTTTGGTTACGTATTGGTGCTCACATTCAAAACGAATTTCAAATTGATGTCTTATTACATCTTACTTGTCATTTACCTACGGAACACTTGAAACGTATCCTCAAGAATGCGCGTGCTGCAGGCATTCGTAATATTCTTGCGCTTCGAGGAGATCCACCCATTGGAGCCGAGCGTTGGTCGCCTGTAGAGGGTGGACTAAGCAATGCCAAAGACCTTATCAAGCTGATTCGAGAAGAGCATGGAGACTTTTTCTGTATTGCCTGCGCAGGGTACGCAGAAGTGCACACCGAGTCGTGGAACCACCCGAACCTGCCACCGTCAAACGAGGCTCGCGCTCTAGATCTACAACGGCTTAAAGCCAAGCAAGATGCGGGAGCAGACTTTATTATCACCCAGTTCTTTTTTGATGTAGACAATATGATCCAGTGGATTGCCGATTGCAAAGATGCAGGGATAACTATCCCCATTTTACCTGGCTACCTACCGATCCAGAATTACAGCTCCTTTTGCAAGTTTACAAGCTGGTGCAAGACTCGAGTGCCGGAACAGGTATTGATGGATCTGAATGCTATTAAGAACGACGACGCGGCTGTTCGTCGCTATGGCACGCAGCTTGCGATAAAGACGTGTCAGCGTCTGCTGGCTGCCGGTGTAAACTCGTTGCATTTCTACACGATGAATCTGGTTGCTACAGTGACGCAGGTACTGGAAGATCTACAACTGCTGCGTGCACGCAACCAGCGCGAGCTACCGTGGCAGTCGACACTGCAGCGCTCGACCGTTGAGGGTGAGCAGGTGCGTCCCATCTTCTGGTCTAACCGCCAGGCTAGTTATATAGCGCGTACTGCTGCGTGGGACGAGTTTCCTAATGGACGATGGGGAGATCGCACAAGTCCAGCCTATGGTGAACTTTCGGAGTACTATCTGGCTTTCAAGAGACCGAAGGTCCAACGTGCTGAACTATGGGGCACTCCACAAACAGAAGAGGATGTGTGGAATGTGTTTGTTCGTTTCATTGGTGGCCAGGTGAAGCAACTGCCATGGTGCGAGCAGGCTCTGTCACCTGAAAGCGCTGCTATCCGCGAAAATTTGCAGTGGCTAAATTCCAACGGCTTCCTCACAATAAATAGTCAGCCACGGGTGAACGGTGCTCCTTCGCGTGACACGTCCGTCGGCTGGGGTGGTGACGACGGTATTGTATTCCAGAAAGCTTACGTGGAATTCTTTGTTGCCCCTGACAAGATAGCACATTTGGTAAAAGTCATGCGACGAGACTACCCACAGCTATCGTTCCATGCCCTTAACCGCCCGGGCGATGAGCACCGCAACATTCCACTCCACAGCGTCACGGCCGTAACGTGGGGCGTTTTCCCTGGCCTTGAAATTGTCCAGCCAACAGTCGTGGACTCGGATTCTTTTGCTGCCTGGAAGGACGAGGCATTTGAATTGTGGCAGACCCAGTGGGCATCGGCCTATCCGGAAGGTTCACGTTCACGTGAAGTCATTCAACACATTTATGACACGTACTTTCTTGTTAATATTGTCGACAATGACTATGCTAACGGTAAGTTTGTGCATTTGGGGATATGCTACGGAGAAATTCTTGAATGGTAGAGTAGAGTGTACTAATTCCGTGTATCTATCATGTTTACATTATACAGATGAGGCTGATATCTTTAGTATCTTTACGCGAATTATTACGGAAACGATGGACAAGGAACAGCTGCGTGCGCGTGTGTTGGAGCTGGAAACTCACAAAGAGAAGATGTTTGACACCCTAACGTCATTCCAGTCGTTGCAGGATGAACAGAATAAAGAATTGCGGGCTGCACACTCGGAACTTGCAAGTATACGCAATGAAAATTTTCAATTAAAGGAGAAAGTCCGCCAGCTACAGACTCAACTCACGCTCGCTTTGCTGTAAAGATCATTCCGTCTAGTTTGAAGATCTCACGCCACTTTTGCAAAGTAAAAGAAGCAATCGCAATCATGAAAAGGGACGGGCGGGTTTCAAGTGGCTGTGTACTACCTACTACTCGTAGTATCTCGACCTACTTATCTACTTCCTCTCTCTATCTATGGACTCCGATTGACTAAATTGCACGATCAAAGGTTCTTCTCATAGTGTTGCTGACACTATTGGAATAGGTAGGTGATAGAATATAAATGATGGGAGTTAACTGAATTGTAGCGCTTAAAGTATTTGTTTCTATTATATCTATTTTAGTGTGATAGGACAGAATAATGAGCTTTTATGAGTATTAAATGAGTTTGTATAGGTTCTAAAATATAGGATAAAAGCTACCAGACCTAATTTGCATAGTAATATTACTACTACAGCTCGTAGTGTCATTGCAAAATAAAAATCAATCTCGTAGTATTGCAAATAGAGCGGTAGTAATATATAATCTGTCGCATTTTATGAAATCTACTAGAGTAAAAAAGAAAAGCCTTGTTTCATTGCGAATTTTTTAAGTATCTACGGTATTTTTGTGCACTGGGATCCATTCATATTGCTAAGTATTATTTCATTTTCGTATATTTCGCTCCATAATAATAAAAAAACATCATCAATATGAATAGCAATGAACCCACGCGTGTGCAAACGCGCCTGACAAAGGAAAGTGGTCCAAAGGTGACAGGATTAGCAAGTGAAACAAAGATTGGTGGTACATTTACAACAACACCTAATCCGCCCTTTGTGACGGCACGTGTGGCTGTATATGATCGTATTATGGCCGAGCAAAAGCAGCAATTGGAGGCACTGGCGGCCAAAGAGACACTTATTAAGATTACGCTACCTGATGGTGCCGTAAAGGAGGGAGTGGCTTGGAAAACGACACCTTTAGACGTGGCACTAGGAATCTCACAGGGTCTGGCCGATCAGGTCGTTGTCGCTCGCGTCACTTATCGCGGCAAACCAGAGGACCCCTTCAGTGTTACGGCTGCAGACGTGGACGGCAATGAGGCTAGTGATAATGCTCGTGATACATGCTGTGGTGCTGTGGCCGACAAGTCTGAGCTCTGGGACGTCTTCCGTCCCCTTATTGGCGACTGTAGACTGGAGCTGCTTAAGTTTGACGACCAAGAGGGCCGCATGGTCTTTTGGCATTCGAGTGCTCACATATTGGGTGAGAGTCTAGAGACGCTTAAGGGAGCTCACTTGACCATTGGTCCCCCCTGTCGAGGGAGGCTTTTACTATGACTCGTATATGGGCGCTGAGACGATCTTAGAGAGTGATCTGAGCGACATTGAAAAGGCCTGTCAGAAGGTAGTGAAGGACAAGCAAAAATTTGAGCGCATTGTGCTTACCAAGGAGGAGGCACTTGAGATGTTTGCTGACAACGTCTTCAAGACGCAGATTATCTCCACTAAGATCCCGGACGGAGGCAAAACAACGGCTTACCGCTGCGGCCCGCTTATTGACCTGTGTCGTGGTCCGCACGTACCTCACACGGGCAAAATCAAAGCTCTGGCCGTCACACGCTCATCGAGCTCGTACTGGCTGGGTAAAACCTGTAACGACACTTTGCAGCGTGTTTACGGTATCTCGTTCCCAGATAAGAACAAAATGAAGGAGTGGAAGCATCTTCAGGCCGAGGCCGCCAAGCGTGACCATCGTCGTCTCGGTGTTAGCGAGGAGCTCTTTTTCTTCCACTCGTTGAGCCCTGGTAGTGGTTTCTGGCTGCCGCACGGTTCTGCCATCTACTTCAAGCTGCTCAAGTTCATTCGGGAGCAATACCGCGAGCGTGGATATACTGAAGTGATTACGCCCAACATTTTTAACATGGAGTTGTGGAACATCTCGGGTCACGCTCAGCATTATAAGGACAACATGTTTGTTTTCGATGTGGAGGGACAAGAGTACGCGCTGAAGCCCATGAACTGCCCAGCTGCTTCGCTGATGTTCAACTTCCGTCAGCGCTCCTACCGTGAGCTGCCCATCCGTTTCGCAGACTGCGGCGTGCTACATCGGAATGAGCTGAGTGGTGCCCTAACGGGCCTTACGCGTGTGCGTCGCTTTCAGCAGGATGATGCTCACATTTTTTGTCGTGACGACCAGATCCAGAAAGAAGTGCTGGATTTTCTCACCTTTATGAAGTACGTATACGACGTGTTCGGCATTGAGTTTAACCTGGAGCTGTCAACGCGTCCCGAGAAGGCTATGGGCGAGTTAGAACAGTGGGAGCGTGCTGAGAAGCAGCTTGCTGCAGCTCTTGACGAGTTTGTTGGCGCAGGCAAGTGGGTAGTCAACCCAGGCGATGGCGCTTTCTACGGTCCGAAGATTGACATCATGATCACAGATGCGCTAAAGCGTCAGCACCAGTGCGCCACGGTGCAACTCGATTTCCAGCTGCCGATCCGTTTTAACCTAAAATATCGTACGGACGATGCGGAAAATTTTAAGCGCCCGGTGATCATTCACCGTGCCATTTACGGGTCACTGGAGCGATTTGTTGCTGTTTTGGTAGAACACTACGCCGGTAAGTTCCCATTCTGGCTATCGCCACGCCAGCTCCTCGTGGTCACGGTGGGCGCTGCCTTTATCGATTACGGTTACGAGGTTAAAGACGCAATGTTTCGCGCCGGATTCGATGTGGATATCGATGACACGGGCAAGACGTTAAACAAGAAGATCCGTGAGGGGCAAATGGCCCACTACAACTTCATTCTGGTGGTAGGCGCACACGAGAAGGAGGCACGCTCAGTCAATATCCGTACCCGTGACAATAAAGTGACAGGTACGAAGACGCTGGAGGAGGCCATCGCCCTGTTCAAGAATTTGGAGATTACCAAGGCAGCTGATGAGTAAGTATTGCTTGTGGGATATAGGAGGTAGCTCGATGCATGCTATTCATTGGTAGCTATTTCCTCTTGAACAATAGCGTTTTGTTATCATTTGCAAAGAGATTGATACACTTGTAAATGGTTCATTACTCATACTTTCCATCTGAGAGAGGCAGACATTTATACTTATCCAGTTATGGGTAACATGATGTCTGAAATTTCCTAATCCTCGTAAGCAACGCCGGTTCCTTAGTCAAGTCCGGTGGTTGTACGGGGTTGTCACCTTCTGTGACGACTCTCGGCAGTTCTCGTTGGCATTCTATAAGACATAAACCTCATATCTGGGAGTCAGCTCGCCGACTTTCCCGCTTTCCTCTGGCTTTGAGTTGCCTCATGCTAGATTTTTCCCAAAACTCCTTGACGCTGCCGTCGAAGGTCCCGTTCGCGTGCTGCAACGCCACTCGCTTTCTTTGAATCCACGAGGTAGTGATGCATATGTTGCTTACGATAAACCAGATACGCTTCCACAGTTTGTCGTAGGCGTCCGCCTCATCCGGATGAAGTCAGTAAAGTTGTTCCGTAATTACGCTGGAGAGCCCTGGTGCTCGCCTACTTGCACTGTTTCGAGGAAGCCCTGTAGCCGCCCTAGCTCCCATCGATGCCCAGTCTAGTGGCAGATGAGCTTTTGCCAGCAGGCGTGCACGCAGGGACACAATCTAGAGATGTGTTTCAGCGTCTTTTTCACTCCAGCTTACTGCAACTGTTGTCCCGTTCTCGTTCTGCATGGTACAGGTTAAGTTGCCCCACTGCACCCCGATACGCGACCATAGAGCAATCTTGTCACCAGGAGTTATAAGCAATTGTATTAATATTGACATCTACAGCTTCACTTCCTCCTGCACTGATGCATACTTGGCCCATTCATATTGTTGTGAGCAATTTTGTTTGCACTAGGACATCGGTAACAATGAACGAGCTTGCTAGTCTGGGTTTCGAACTCTTAGCAGACCTTCACATCATCCTGTCGCCTTTCACTCGCTACTTTAATGGAAATCTCGACCGTAAGCAATTCAGAGTCTTATGAACGTCGAACTCACTAAACTTGCGTATGAGAAGCCATATGAAAAGATGCCAATTCACATCATGATGTCGTCATAGAAATTTAATGGCGGCTGATGTTGTTTATAGTTGTCTCGATGTAGATTGGACCTCTGTGTTTGTCGAGATATCTGTTGAAATGGACTTTTAACAAAACCAATAGTGCCATAAATTACCTTCCGAGGTAAAAATAGAGAGCTTTATAATAAGTTCATATGGATCTGCATCTTCTACAAATTATCGATAGAGTATTTTTGTTGATTGGAGACGATTAGTTTTAGTCTTTCTATGAGCCCATGCACACGGCAAAGATACATAGTACTTAGTACTGCAAAAGTTTGACGGCTATGCATTGCCGCCAAATCAGTCCTTAGTTTTGGACACAGTCAGTAGCTAGGATTGAGTTGAGTAGTGTTTAGACATGTCAATACTCTGTTCGTTCAAGACCTAATTTTAACGTTAAAGTATATGTTTGAAGCTAAATGGGTATTTTCCCTGGACGTAGCCAAAACCAAAAAAAAAAAAAGGACCCAAATACTTTCTTCATTTTTTTCAAGTAAGAATATTGTCAAAATTGTTAAACTATCCAGGTTGAGTCGGTTGTAGCAGCGTAAACTTCATTCATTGGCCTTACAAAATTTGCTACTCAAGTCCCTTCATTCTACTACTTCACACTAAAACAAACTCGTAATCTCCAGTAATTATGACCAACGCCCTGTATACGTCCGTTAAACAAGATGATGAGCATGAAATGCCTCCTTCTCCTACTACCCGTAAATATTCATATGGTCCAACAACAATGGACACTTGCATTCCATTCGATGAGTATATTAACCTGAAAAAAGTATTCTTCCTTTTCCTCATTCTATTGCCATATTTCATTCTTTTCGTCATATTTGCCCACAAAAATGACAATACCATTCCTTCTTCTCCCAGCTCTTGTAATTATTCAGTTTTAAAACCGACTCGGAATCTCTATCAAGACACGTCCCTCGTCTCTCGTTCATACCGTTATGCTGCCATTCAACAAAAAGGTGTTACGCTGTGGTTTACGGGCTTATCTGGTAGTGGGAAGAGTACAATTGGAAAAGCAGTGGAGAAACAACTCGTTCGAACGCGATATCTAACGTCTCGATTGGATGGAGATAATCTTCGAATGGGATTAAATCGTGATTTAGGATTTTCAGCAATTCATCGAACCGAGAGTGTACGACGTGTGGGTGAAATCGCAGCTTTATTTACTCAATCAGGTGTGATTACAATTGTTAGTCTTGTATCACCCTATCGGATAGATCGGGATGAAGTACGTGCACTTCATCGCAAATTAAATATCTCCTTCTATGAAATATTTGTGGATGTTCCAGTATCAGTTGCAATGAATCGAGATGTGAAAGGATTGTACAAACGTGCGACGAATGGAGAAATTAAAGACTTTACAGGCATTTCAGCACCGTATGAAGAACCAGAGAAACCAGATATTTATTTAAATACGTCCTGTCAATCACTTGACGAGGAAGTGAACATTATTTTACAAAGATTAAAGAAAGAAGGAGTACTAACTGGTGTCACTCATCTACCCAATGGATATCCTGGTGTAGCAATACCTGATGGTGGTAACGCTGTTGCTACATTTTCAACAATGTATCCAGATCAGCCACATTTCTCTCGTCCGGAAAATTATGATACATTACCTCGTGTGCTTCTACGTGATGAGGATATCCACTGGTTGCAGGTCATTGGCGAGGGCTGGGCTGCACCTCTACGTGGCTTTATGCGTGAAGGTGTTTATTTACAATCTCTTCACTTTAGCAGTGTACTGTTCGACACGGATAACCTTACTGATGGCCAGCTATCTCTTGACAAATCCACCAACTTTTCAGAATATTTAAATGAATTGGTATCGAAGGGCCAGCGCGTGAACATGCCTGTGCCCATTGTACTTCCGATCAACGACGCTGCAAAGAAGCTTATCGGCGAATTTAAGCAAGTGGTATTGGTAAGCCCGTCTGGCGAAGAGCTTGCTTTGCTCACTGACCCTGAAGTTTACGATCACCGCAAGGAGGAGCGCATCACACGCACGTTTGGTGCCATGGACAACGGTCACCCGTACATTGCTGAGATCTTAAAGTCGGGTGAGTACCTACTGGGTGGTGAGATTAAGCTGCTGTCTCGCATCAAGTATAACGATGGTTTGGACCAGTATCGCCTGACCCCGATGGAATTGCGCAAGCGCTTCGAAGAAATGGGTGCCGATGTTGTGCTCGCTTTTCAGACGAGAAACCCAACCCACGCTGGCCATGCTTACTTGATGAATAACGCCCGTGAGCAGCTTCTTGCGCATGGATACAAGAATCCTGTGCTATGGCTGTCTCCTCTTGGTGGGTGGACAAAAGAGGATGATGTACCTCTTGACGTGCGTCTGCATCAGCATGAAGCAATTTTACGCGATGGTATGCTGAACAAAGAGAGTACTGTGCTTGCCATCTGGCCTTCTCCGATGATCTACGCTGGTCCTCGCGAGGTGCAATGGCATGCAAAAAGTCGGAAGAATGCTGGAGCAAGCTTTTTCGTCGTCGGACGTGACCCTGCTGGCATCAAGCGCTCAGATGGCGATAAGGACGACATTTATGCCGGCGACCATGGTCGTTTCGTTCTTCGCATGGCTCCTGGAATGGAAGACTTCAATATTTTGTCGTTTTTCAAGGTGTACTACGATGTCCAGGACCACAAGATGAAGCCAATGGACAATAGTCGTAAGCAAGACTTTTTGTCGATCTCGGGCTCGCGTATGCGTGCGATGGCACGTGAAGGTCTGCAAAAATGCGAGGGTGATCAAGTTCCTATAGACTGGGAACACAAGCCGACGTGCGTTCCTCAGGGATTCATGGCAAAATCTGGATGGGACATCATGACTGACTACTACCAGAACATCGACAGCTCGCGCTGGATTCCATTTGCCATCCAGTACTCGAAACCTGTGGTGGATTCTACACGTGCGTTCACTTCAGAGGGTACATTCGGTCGCACCAACTACAAGCTTCACTTCAAGAACGACAAGGGCGAGATGATTTCTCCGTGGCACGACATTTCGCTGCACCCGATCGACTCAAAGGACAATCGTTCGTACAATTTCATTGTCGAGATTCCCAAGGGTATTGCGCACAAAATGGAGGTGAACAAGGAAGTCCATTACAATCCAATCATGCAGGACACGACACATAACGGCACTCGTGGCCGCGACTACTTGTACGGCGTGCCATTCTTCAACTACGGTCTGTTCCCGCAGACATGGGAAGATCCGAGCGTGAAGGACGAGAATGGCAACGGTGGTGATAACGACCCGTTGGATGTAATTGAGATTGGTGCGAAGCAGTTGCCAATGGGTTCAGTGAATCCAGTCAAGGTTTTGGGCAGTCTAGAGCTCGTTGATCAGGGCGAGGTTGACCACAAGATTCTAGTGCTGTCTCTCTCCGATAAAGATGCTGACAAGATTAATAGCGTAAGTGATTTGCAGAGCGTGAAGCCTGGCGTGTTGGAAGCGTTGATGGATTGGTTGAAGAAGTACAAAATTCCAGAAGGCAAGTCTGAAAACATGTTTTCCCAAGAATACCCAACGTCTGCGGACAGAGCCATTGAGATTATAGTGGATACGCACAAGCGATGGCAAAAGCTTAAGACAGGCGAGATAAGTGTCAAGGAAAGGTTGTGGCTTCACTAACTCTATTGTCAATAAAGTACTTGCAACGACTTGTATTCTTGTTTGCAGACGTAGGTAGGTCTTGAACGTCTTGTTTGAATCAAGAGATTGTATATGTCTGAATTGGTTTATGAAGCAAATAGAGTTCAACCGCTTAGTATGGACCTTAACACTTTATACCGTGTTCATTCTGAATCTGAACCGATCACATGGTGCATGGATGGCGTCGTTGGTATCGACAATGGCACGGTATTGTATTGAAAACATTGCGTTCAAGTTGTTCGTCGATTGACAATCTCTTGACTCAGAAGCAGCCTCTTCTTAGTCATGTGTACAACTGGATTATTAACTGTAAGCGTCTACGAGAGACAAGTGAGAAGCAGCGCATTGCATCACCACATATTCCTCTATTCAGTATAGGGAACGTCACGTTTGGAGCTACTGGAAAGACTCCATTTGTGCAGTTTTTACTCGATTACGTGTTACAGCATGGAAAGAAACGTCTCGTGCCAATGTTACTAAGTCGTGGGTATGGTGATGATGAATGGCGCATGCTAAGTAACCAATTCCCAGCGTGTATCATGGCATTAGGAGGTGATCGTGTAGCGATTGGTGTTGCGAAAGTAAAGGAATTAGGTGGAGATGGAGCACCATTGAGCTGTATCGTGTTAGATGACGGATTACAGCAATGGCGACTAGTAAAGGACCTGGAGATTGTAATGGTGGATGCTCTTCATCCGTTGGGTAATGGTCTGCTCTTGCCGTGGGGAAGTCTACGAGAAATGCCACGTGATGCTTTTGCAAGGGCCGACGTGGTGATTCTACATCATGCAAATCTGGTAGATACTGAACGCATTCAAGACCTGATGGACAATGTCAGAGCGTTGATGGACGCAAGGAAGAAGGCTATAATTGCGACATCAAAGCTGCAGGTCATGGGGTTGGTCTCTGCTAAGAAGCTTCTGGCAAATGCAATGAGTAGCACAAGTGGTCATGTTGCTTTGGAGAGAGATGATGATCTACTATGCTTGGATGGTCTTTCCGTTTTGGTCGTATGTGGTGTAGGTAATCCAGAGTCCGTCGAGTTAGTCGTGAAAAAATTGGCATCTTGGGCTCAAATGGAAGTGATAGCATTTCCTGATCATCACGCATTTACTGAAACGGATGTGCATGATGTTGTCAAGCGATCACGTGAGCTCCAGCAAAAGAACAGTTTAGTAGTACTGACTACAGAAAAAGATTTTGCTCGAGCACGACTTGCAATGCAGCTTCTTGCCGAAAAAGTCGACTTACGAGTTCTTCAGTGCAAGCTAGAGCTGCTTCACAATTGTAAACAAGTCAAGCAACGTATCGACGCGTGCTTGAGCAAAACAATTGAAAGACATGAGCAATAGTCGTACCAGGTACTTGTCAATGTTCAAATAGCTATTGTGCTTTTACCTCGTGCTTGGTGGTTATCGAAAACTCCATGTGCTGGTTTCCTTCGCTTGCGATGTAGCTAAAACATTGAGTCCAGGTTTGTTGCGTTCTAGAGACCCGTCAGCGCGAAACCAAACTTCGAAAGCCTTGAAAAAATCAACATAAGCTGAGTTCTGACACATAACCATTTGACGTGATTGTGCTACACAAAGCAGGTTTCTAGCATCTTTCGCCATCATGCACTTTAGACTCCAGGGTCCCCCCACGAACAAGGCTATCCAATCAATGCTTGGTAGACAGATTGTGCCGCAAGGACAACCAGCAAAATTAGACAGTACCTCGAGGTCAAAATTGTCGGTAGCACTGCCACAATGATGCTATCCCACAGAAGGTACGCTCATCTTCATCTTCATCGTGCACGTGCCAAAACGCCACGGACCCTAGACCTGTAATTGGATCAAAGTAAACTTAGTAATGCAACTTAACGATAAGCCTTTGCTCCGTACATCGTGCTCTTCTTCGTCAGCAGCTCTGAGTCGCTCTGCTTCTAATTTCACTCGCTCAGACGCATCACAACCAGAGCCATGATCGCCTTCCTCAGCAAAGCTAACCTGCTATCTTGTGCGGCTCAGCTAGATCGCAGATTTATCAATCGAGCCGACATTCTATCGGCCAGCATACTGCTCATTATTCGTTCGGAGTTCCTATACGGGCTTAATGTCAAGACGACTCTCAGCACTTCCTAGCGCAAAACTATCTGTTACATTCACGTGCGAAGTGACGCCAGACCACACAAGCGATGCCACCAGCAAGACAAATGCTTCGCCTCTACGTGTCAAGAACACTCAACGCTATCATTGCGTAAATGTGCGCACGGCAATTTCCTTCGATATTTTGCTGCGTATATGGTTTGTTAGCAGTACTTCCCAAGGTCCTTCTATTCAACCCGTCGTGGGTTTAAGCATGATGCCAGTCTTGATAGGTATGAGTTTGCCAGTTTTCGAGTCAACACAAAACTTCTTGTCGTGCTTCTTTAACCACTCCTCATACTCGCGCGCCTCAGGGTGGAAGTGGCATACCTGCTCAAACACTGCCTTTTGCATTTCTTGCTTTGTCTCGGGTACGTATTCATTAGAGTCATCAATTTTACCCACAAACTTGTCCTCGTTCTGTTCTGCTTCATTGTAATAGAACGTCTCGTCATCTCCAGTGTTATCACTCATACCTGACCGAAATGCCTCACGCAGATACGGATGTTTCAGAGCCTCAACAGCAGTAATACGCTTCTTCGGGTCATACACGAGAAGCTTGTCCAAAAGGTCCAATGCCTTTTGATTTGCGTTTGGATACAACTCTTCAAAAGGAATCTTCGAACGCCGTCGTTGGCGATGGACCCACTTCTGTGCTGCTTCTTTGTAGATTTTGGCGATGTAAAAGGTATCGGGTGTACCAAGTATGTTAAAGATTTTGTTCAGCTGGTTAGTTGTACTAGACCCCGGGAATAACGGTTTCCGGCCAAGCAGCTCACCCAAAATGCAGCCTGCAGACCACAAATCAGAAGGTTTATCATACCGGCATCCGTCCAGAAGAATTTCAGGCGCGCGATACCACCGCGTAACTACATATTCAGTCAGCTCCACAAACGCGTCCTCAGGAGACGATCCCCTAATACATTTCGACTTGGAATAATCCACGTAGCGTGCTAGACCAAGATCACATATCTTGACTTCACACGTACTCGTGACCAAGATGTTTGATGGTTTCAAATCTCGATGGAGAAGATTCGCGGAGTGCAAGTAAGCCAACCCACGTAAAAGCTGTCGCATGAAGTGCGCTACGTGCTCGTCCGTCAGTGTTTGCGTAGAATGAATTACACGATGCAAATCAGCTTCCATGAGATCTGTCACAATGTAAACGTCTTCCAAATACGACAAACGTTCCGGCCGAGGAACGTCGTAAAAGCTGAATAAGGTTCGGATGACTCAGCTGTCGGAGCAAAAACAATTCACGAAGAATGCGCTTCGTATCGGGCAGGTCTTGGAACGCATTGGTGATCTTTTTTATAGCAACGGTTGTTCCTGACTCAACATCACTTGCAGCGACCACTTCACCGTAGGTACCAGCACCCACCACCTTGATCAGCTGGTACTTTTTCGGGACATCGAAAGTTGTAATTTTGCCCGAAAAGCTATGGTTATTGCGAGCTAGTCGCGCAAGCTCATGCGTTTCATTAATAATCGCTGTCGCAGCTTCTGCGTTCGTCAGACCATGCGCACGTTGTTTCACAAAGGAACCTGTTCTGCTTCGAATTTGACGAGATACATAACGTCCTCCTATGCCCGCTGGGATATCGAACGTAGCAGTAGCGCCTCGTTTATCATATCTAACAACTTCGCAAAGGTCGTATCTCGACAGGCTCTGCAGCAAAACTTCATCGGCAGAACTTCGTCTAGGTCCCATCAGACTTCCATCACTTGCCATGCGCCGCAGTCCCTGAGATTGAGGAAAATTCTCTGCAGATGTAACTGAAGGAGCAAAAATGATGCCAAGCTGGATCCGTCCGCGAAATACTGTCGGTGGTGCCCATGATTCCTTGCAATCATTATACTGGTCACATAGATTGTGCCAGCGAGGAAGTGCACCGTTCGCCTTAGCATCTGCAGACCCCGAAACAAGCGATAAATGTGGTGTGACGTTGATCTTGCAAACACCCAGTAGTTCATCCGGCAGCATAAAGCGGCTTTGAAATACCTCCACCTTCAAAAAATACGTAAAGCCCCGGGCACAGCCTGGGAACTCCAGTCGAAGGTTACTCGACCAGTTAGGACTAAGAGTTCCAACTTTGTGGTGGCCATCTCGAGCCATCTCTGGTGTGCACTTGCAAATATTCGTGACGCATCCACTTGGATCGCCAAATGTTGCAACAGCTCGTTCTCCAGATATTCCAGCAGCACGTCGTAAGCCACGGAAGAACCGAGTTCCCTTGGAAGGGCGGCGGGTCTCTTTCGTGGATCCGTTCTGCAACGAAGTAGCAAGTTCGTCCAGCACATTGTCTCCTTCCTTGACGTCCAGTCCACGCAAAGTTTGTTCCATATGAGTCCCTTCCTCCAAGATACATCGTGCATATACTGGACAGCTCTTCTTTGAAGTAGGAGCGGCAGAGACATTCTGAACAATCCCTTTCGATGCGTAGTCATTCCCACCTTCACCAATCATGCAGCTGCTGAGCCTGTAAAATCTGCACGTAAAACGTTCCTGGCGGAATCGAGTGAGAAATTGCAGAAGCTTCACCGGGCAGCACAAGCCGAATGTTTTCACCTCGTGGAGCATCATCAAATGCAACTGAGAGTGCGACAGCGTCGCCGTTCAAATGCCACCGCACCAGACGGTCTTTGTGGTCTAACCACAGCTCATGTACAAAAAGCTGTGTTACCCGCCGGTTTTCCGTATTAAGCAGGTTGTAGGTCTCCTTTCCGGTAACCACAAGGCGCCTTATCCATTGCGACGATGGTGTTGACGCACTGATAGGGGTTGATTTCGGTGCATCCATCGTTTTGGGAGACAAAACGTATGAGTCAGTCGCGATCGGTGAAGGCGTGACTACTTCATGATGAGCGCCAGTATCGTCAATGCAATCTGCGTCACCACGGACCAGCTCAATTACCTCCAGAAGCGAAAAATTATCCACCATAACCGTGTCTAACAATGTAGAAATAAACAATAGAACACCATCATATCGACGGTATTGCCCCCAAAACGGTACGATAGGAGGAAAATTAGACGTCACAACAATATCTGGGTGCAAACTCCGAAGCAATAGCGGAAAGTCATCAATTTCTTGGCACAATAATGCACCTAGAACTCGATAGAATTTGTGCGGCTCTAATGGCTGCGACGCAAACGCCACATAAGGACGTGTCACCTCTGGTGCTTCGGAAATGGCGATCTGGCACAAACAAACAAAAGACGTGTTAGCTTTTCCAAAACCAAACAACACAAGCCCTCACGCCCAACTTACACTAATTGCTCGCTTCCACTGCTCTTTTTCGAACGCAGTTCGCGAGCTCAAATGATTAATGTGGTTACCTTCCGCAATCAAACGAAACCCATTCGGTTTCCCCATATCTTCGTCCTCAATGGCCTGGAGCTGAATTCGACCGATAAGTTTCGTATTCGAAATAAAGTCCTCTCGCGTTTCGTAAAACGCAAGCGTGTCCTCCTCGAGCACACAATATATCGCCTTCCAACTCATAAGCACGTCGCTTTTTTTGCTCAAATATCCTTCAAACGAAATGTCTCGGTCTGTCCGATATCGAATAGTATGCGACCGTCCACGTTCAACAGGATATGGGGCTGTCAGCGATCTTGCTACCGTCGCTGTAATACTTGTTCTTGGAGGCGTCTCGACACGAGCCGAGGAGGAAGACGATGGTGTCCGCGCGGGTGGTGTTTGCACGGGCGGTGTCACTGATGACGAGTCTGAATCCGTGTTTCCTTCATGGTCACTCTCTTCCAGAAACACTGTGCTTGTATCTGCACTTCTCGGCTGTGGTCTTCGGGGTGCACTGCCTGGTTGAATGCGTTCTTGCAAAAGTCCTAAAAACGCCGTCATCCGCGTCTGATCGACGGGGTCAGTATTTTTCACAGTTATCCTAATCTGCTCCGAGTCATGGAGTTGCTCCATTCTCACTAGTAGCACCGTCTTCATGGCATACTTGTCCATGACACTGGCATATGCACGTACATCAAATGACTTGTTTGGATGTATCGAATCATGTGGAAAAACCACAAGATCTTTTCCTAGAATCTGAAGAAATTGCTGTTCAAAAGAAGAAAAAGAAGAATCATGATAATACACACGTCGTGTCTCCTTCTCTTCTGCTTCATCTGCTGCTTCGTCTTCTTCTTCTTCTGCTTCTGCTTGTCTTGATGTCATAAACCTTGGTAAATGTACAGCTAGAACTCACTTGTTGTGTAGCATTGAGCCATAATGTCTCAAATAATTCCATGGTCATCCATTCTTCTTCCATAGACTCAATCTGTATTGTTACATCCTTGTCTAATGTTAAATTTGTACTCTCACGACGACGGATCATGACTAGAGACACACAACACACAGATAGACACACAGACAGAGAGAGATTGAGTGAGTGAGTGATATCGAGTCGTAGAGTCGATAAAAGACGGTCGAGAAAGACCTTACAGAGAGTTAAATTAGACTTGATGAACGTATGAGGAAAAATAAATGAAAAGAAGTTTTGTTCTAATTTAGAAAAGAAGAAGAAGATGGACAAGAATAGAGGGACAGAGTGAGGGAGTGAATGAATGTAACCAGGGAAAGTGCTTGCAAAAACGAGCACAAAATGTATTAAGTTTGACAGGGATATACTGAAGCTATCCAAATGTAGCCATATGAGTCATATGGGCAATTGCAATCATAAATTACATGATTGTGATAATGAATGTTATGTCATCATATAATTACGATGCACATTGCCATTTTACTGTTGTAGCTTGTATTGGCACGTATGAATGCAGCTTAAAGACTTGAGTTAGCTTTGAGCGTATTAGAGACTACAACGATATGATGGTGTAGCAGATGTACGCACGTGATAATACGGCAAAATGATCGTTGTCTCAAAAACTAAAGCCCTCCAGGTAGTCATGACGTTTATTATCTGATGATAATTAATAACAGATTATTCCTTAAGCTGGAAAACTGTCTAATCGTACAAATACTTGAGCATATTGCTGACACTTTTTTTCACTAGATGAAAGTATGGACGTAACCGGTGCATTTCATACACTGATTTGTTATATATCTCATAAGTAGAAAAGATGTGAAGAAAAAAGGCCCTAGACAATGTTGGATTTAAATTAAACACTAATAATAGTTAATATTTCTATCAAAGTTTTCGTTAGAAATGGTTTTAATCAGACCACGTGCGTCTTTCCCTATCTCGCATACATGAAAGAGCCGTCTAAAACCCCATTATTTAATCAACTCAGCTTTCAAACTACTCCTGTAAATAATGTAAATCTCTACATTTTAGATATAAATCTATAGTTTTATTGATGGAAACAGGTTCAGCTTCACAATACAAATATTGAGTATTATGTAGTTTATGAACTAGAGCTAGCCAAACTTGACGAAAGTATATATGTCGCACTAAAGCTACATAAATTCTTGTTTACGTCAACACTCCATGTCCAATCGCTTCAGTACGTCCTCCATCGTATCATCTTTTCTAATTTTGCTCACATTTTCACAAATTTTGACATAAGCATTGAATAATGTCGTCCCAACCTTGTCATCCACTTTATGAGCCAAGGAATAATTGAATGCATGGACAGCAGTGAGCCAAACTGTTGTCGACGTCGCAACAAATGGAATGGCACAGAATGCAAACATATCGTCAACCTCGAGCACACCATCCGATGCAAGGATATGCTTTTGCTTGTACATATACCGTCCCAGATTTGAAATAGTTGCGTCACCCGTGCACGAATTTGGAATCTTGAAATCACCAAGAAGCTTTGTCAACATTGTGCTTTGTACTGAACTTTTTCTCAATAAAGAAAGACGGCATTGCCATCTCCAGGGGCTTGTTTTCTCGTGCTTCCATCTGGATCTTTGAAGTTCGAGCAAGGTCCCAGAACTTTACACTCTTCATGTTTACACCCTCCGTAGCTAGCCACACAAGTGGAAAATTACTCACGTACAAACCCACTTGTCTCTCCTCAGCAGGCTCTGGTACACGCTGACGCATATTGTAGCAAACATCCGCCACAAATCGAAACACGTCGTCGTCGGTCTTGTTGTCAATACCCTTTAGCTTGCGTTCAAAGTTGCTAGCGTGGTAGAATGCAAGCATGAGCATCGGAATGAGAGCCCCTCCAAGCGTAACGCCCTCTTCTTTGCATTTTCGTAGGGTATCGCGCATGTTGGTCGGATCGCCAGCCTGGCTCATCAGCGTCGTGCTATTCTGCACAAACGGACTACCAAAGTCCTTTTGGTCCTCGCGAGAGGTCAACAAAGGTTGGAACACTTTCACGAACTTGACATAAGCTGGACCGACAATGAACTTCAGCATGGTCCTAGCCAGTGGCTTGAGCCACCATGGACCCGCGGACCACATGTCGTAGAGTGACGGACGCAGCGGAAACTCACGCACCGGTTTCACCGCCTCAATTGATAGTAGTGCAACGTCTTCCAGTGTGTCATTCACAAAGATTTGTCCCGACTCTCCGTCCGACATGATGTGGTCTGAAAAGAGGAAAAAACGAGCCTTGCCCTCCGCCCAGTTCACCCACACCGTGAGGTAAAACATGAACTGTGTATAGCGGTCGAACGGAATATGGGTGTTCGTCTGCACGAACTGGTTCCAGTTTTTCCAGGCCGTGACATCTTCCTCCGAGTCGGAGATTTCACGAACCCGCAAAAGTCTCTTGGCGGTAACGTCGTCTAGGGAGATCTGCGGTTGCACTTCACCCGTAAACTTCTCGTCCCGCACTATTATGGCTCGCATACGTGGGTGCCGGTTGAACGTGCGCATTACAGCCGTCGGCAGGAATCGCATTAATTGGTCCATGTCCCCGCTGATGGCAATGGCGTGGCAGCACGCGACGGACACATTCGGGTCAACACCACACAAGCGCTCTATGGCACGTAGTTGAAAGCGGCGTTTGTCCCCGACCGTATTTTCGGTTGATTTACAGCTCATTGCGTTCAGTTGATCAAGACTTGGCAGAATCGAATGTGACCGACTCAGTCGTCTCACTCATGGTAGAGTGAAAGCCCAGCTAGACTGGTCCGAGACCTTGACTATATAGCAAAAGAATTCGTACGGCGGTGCAAGAAGGATCGGGATGTGCACAATATGGCGCCGCGAGTCAGATGCTTTGAGGTATGACCGCCGGCCCTTCTGCCCTCACAGACATGACTTGCCACGTCAAACTGTAATCACTGGGATAGGCGCTGCAGAAACGAAGCCAATGTGACCAGATCCAGAACCTAGAGCTTTGAAGGTGCAGCTGACGAAAAGGATGGAGGTGAAAAGCATCTTGGATGACGTTAAAGTTGGTCACGAACATTTTTGTAGTAACGCTTAGTGAAGGCAGCACTTGGAGCTTAAGAACAGTTCCAATCCCTTCATCATACCGAGCGTTTTATTGTCGAGACCGTTGAATTGTTAGGACTGTGGCATTGAGGAAGCATTGCGGACTTGTGAAGCCAATTGTCACAGTTACACCTTACAGAGACAAAGCAGCGATACGTTAAGCTGGTTGACTAAGTGCACCATGTAACCTCAGTCGATTTATGTTTGTTCACATGTTCACATGAAGAGTTGATCTGACGATCTGAAACATGCCCATTTGTTGTGATCACGTGTGGGAACTACAGACGAAGTGACGAGAAATGAACGTACATGACAGATTAGCTCCATACGGATATCGATTGCCAGATACTCTGAACGCATGCTATTGGGTATAACATGGTTGGTGTGTGTTTGTGCAACTCATCAGGCTCGTGTCTTTCGTCTAAGCCCTTCTTTACCCAGGGCGTTCCACGTAAGAAATTGATTGTGGAAGACATTCACCGTCGAATGTGAAAGTTCATTTGGACGGCCTGCCAGTTTGATCCCCACGAGTAGTTATATGTGTTTGTTCTAGTAACGCTACCAACTCAATCGTAGGAATACAAACGGTACCAAGTTGTGTTCATTTTCTGGCCGCAATTTCAAGCTCTCTTGCTAGGTAGGATATCTCCTTTTGGTGCATCATCAGCTCTTCTTGTAAAGAATGAAGAGAACGCTGCTTATATGTGTCGAGTTCGGTTTCAACGCTTTGCAGATGAGACAGCTCTTCCTGAAGTTCATGGATCTGGATCTCTTGTTCTCGTCCTTCTTCCTGTTACAGACATGCAAAGTTGATTGATTGAAGAGGCTAAGGACTGACTTCTACTAGACCATATGCTCAACTAACCTTGCGGCGTCTGCCTGATTTAATTGCCGCTGTTTGTAGCTGCAATTTGTGACGAAGGTCATTAAACTCAGCGTCATCGATAACATGTATATGTTGTCCAGATGGGAGAACGTTTTTGTCTACATCTGAAGTGTTCAAGCTCGAAATTTGTGACGACAAACATTAGGGAGATTCATCTCTGGGACTGTTTTTATCCCCGAATGCAGCACCGGCAAGTAAGTCTGAATCACATCGAGCACTATATACATTTACGTGCACGGACGATTTAGATAGCAATGCACTCAAACACCGTAAAACAAAGGAACAACAGAATAGTCTAGTAAGATTGGCTTACATTAAAGGTGTCTTGTGCTGAGTCAAGTCTTGCCGCTCTTCACTATTTGGTCGCAAGGTTGTTTCCTGCTTTTGTTTGCAGTTCTCTGAATCAATGTAAGCTGGTGAGATTCTACCGGCTACTGCTTTCTCTTCTTCTTGACCCTTCTTGTCTTTGATCGTCCATTCAACTTCTTTACTCTGCGTCAATTCGTTCTTGTCTGAGTCAAGCTTGCCAGTTGGACTGCCATTATTGTTGTAATTGACGATGCTAGCCGTTGCTGAAGCAACCTCGTCTCGAGTGCTATCGAGAGTTTCTGTCGCAAGCAGCTCCTGAATTTCCGGCGTTACAAGCAATTCATCGATTGTGACTTCAACATTGTCGGCTGGAAAAGTTGAGCAGGCCATGTGAACTATCAAGATAAAACAATACTAAGCAATGCGAATGAGAGCTTTCAAAGAGCGCAAGGGGAAGTGAAAACCCCGTTAGGCATCGTCTTCTGCACTTTTCCGTTTCGATGATTGTAAACGGTAACGTTTCAAAACAACACATGAAACTAAGTTGTTTTTTACGTGGTAAGAGGATAGCTTAACTGCTTAGAAGTCAAGTCCTGACATCATGACTTGCTATTCGTGATCTCATTGTCCTTTTCTAAAGTTTTGAGGTCTTGTAACCTTTCAATTTGGTTTATATGGAAACGCGCTCGCCGTTTTTGCAGGATATAACATTGTCGCCTCTTGTTTGATCGTTTTTCTGTTGACAAAGTTGTCAAACTACGTTTATCTGTTCATTGTCGGTAAAAAGCAGCACCAGCCGCCACAAGGCATAAACATGAATGAACTTGTAAAATAAAGACCACATCAAAACTATGAGGGCAAGTGCGTTACCCAGTCGAGCTCTTCTCTTGCTGCATCCTGAAGTTTGCTGCAGAGATCAGCCACTACGTCTTGGTGCATCTTGAGCTCTTGCTGCAATGAATTAACTGAACGTTCCTGGTACTGCTTTGTCTCTGCTTCCATGTACTGCAAATGAGAAAGCTCTACCTGAAGTTTCTGTAAATGCATCTTTCTGTGCCGAGCTGCTTCTTGCGCGTCAGCAACAGACCGTTAGAAGTCACAAGACGTCGTCATCGGCTTCTCAACTTGCCTTTTTGCGCTTACGATAACGACGCGACGCCATCTGCATCTGCACCTTTCGTCGAAGCTCTTCAAACTCAGCAGAACTGCTGACGTGAACGCGTTGACCAGTGAGCAAGATGCTACTGCCGGAGGTTAGGAGTGCGGCCGATGTCCGCGGGTTTTCAATCGGCAGCTGCAAATCTTGCAGCCCATAATGAAGCAGTGAAGCTGGAGGAGATATTGGGATTAAGGCGGAAGCAATAGTCTTTCTCGCCACGATAGGCTCTTGAATAGGCAGTGGAAAACTTTGACACGATTCCGGTGCACACGCAAAGTCCATAGAGCAAGGGTTAGCAGCAAGCGACTGAGGAACAGCACCATGCCTTCGTTGATGTTGACACAAGAAGAGCAACTCAGTACATGTGAGCACGAATGAGGACAAAAACAAGAACCTTACAGTAATCGCTGGGGCGTCGGTGAAGATCGCTGCGATGCAGTACCTGTTAGATGTAAGGGAGAGCTTGGACTAAGGGTGACAAGTAAACACATTTAAGATTCAAAAGGTCAAACTCTCGTTAGTCCTGCAAGTTAATCTGGGCAAAAAGGTTCTTGAGCGTACAGTAAGGTCCGCAGCGGTCAAGCTTGGTCTTTCGATTCTTGCTCTTGCTTTTTTGTCGGGTACATTTCGACATTGCAGTGGCCGTGTATCTCATTAGCTTTCGATTCTCGAACCACTTTTTTGCAAGTTGCAGCAATTTCAGTCTGCATCACGTCAACAGTTTGTCCATCGTAGTTCTCGTTACAGGTCGCCGAATTTTTCTCTAGACCGACGCTCGTATTTTCCGACGCCAAGAGCTCTAAGACCTCTTCCATCATTATCCAATCGCTCGTAGAGTCATAAGAACTGAAAGGTCCCTGCCACGACATGTTTCTTTTACGCAAAGAACATATGTGATGGATCGTTTTGCGCAGTGACATCGGCGACGAAGTTCGGCGGTTTAACGCATCGTAATCTGTTTTTTCTGATTCACATCTGGTCATTTTGTCGTGTTTAGCGTTTCTAGAAACATGTTCATAGCAAACACTATTTCACGAAAGAGTTTTGGTGCTCTTGCTGTTTGGCAGTTGGTAATAACTTGTTTTGATGTTCGTTACGCTATCACCTGCCATTTAATCAAGCTACCATGTCTTGCGGTGGTTAAGTGTATTCTCCTTATCGTGATCGAGGCATTTTTGTGGTCCTAATCGTTTGGACTTACGGGAGATGAAAGATTGCGTCGTCTGTGAGACACTGTATTCGTAGATAGATGGATGTTTCTTTAGCTAATAGTCAGCGTAACAAACTCACCTCGCTTTGTTCGCCTCGCATAGAAACTCTTCTGTTGCTTCATCATGACAACGCTTCTACCACCAAGAGACATTCTTTGAGCGTTTACCACCCGGCGCAAAGCGCATCTGCGCGAACAGAACCATCGCGCTTCATTACAGCAGCATCCCCTGTATCCTATCAGCTGCAAACTGTGACTAGCTTAACCAGCTTGATGTTCTTTAATGCATAGAGGCGTGTCAAATAGGATTGCCACATCAAGACCTTACATTATACACTTTCGTAACTTCTAAGGCATCCATCCGCCCACTCGTGAGCATAGCGCTAACATTTCTCCATGCTGTGTGTTATCCGCACGATTGTGGATCACGTCTCTTGGAGCCGAGAAATGGCAGCGACATCTTTCGTAAGCGACTAGTTCGTACCTCTAGATGGGTCGCCCGAAAAAATGACTGATGCTGGCAAGTCGTACAATGACCCGCCACCAAGCTTATTCTCAACATCAGCAAGTCTCCTTGCTAGTTTCGCAGCATCTTTAAAGCATGCAGTCGATTCCAAACACCTGCAGCGCCATGATATGTTGAGCGTGTTGCACAAAGTATGTACTACTTCTGGTGTGTTGAAGTCGTCCGTGTAGACAGCATAAATGAGAGCCCAATCCAACGGACCGCATAATGTAAGCCTAGGTTGAGTCCTGTTCGAGCATTAATGAGATTTGTGCTGATAAATAGTCTGCAGCACAGTACGCTGAGTCTGTACACGAGATATGAAGCGCGGAGCTGCTTAAAGACTTACGAGGCCCATGACCGCTTGAGCACTATCATCATAATATGTATACGATTTACTAGGTGGAGCAGAACATACACTCTTCACTCTCAGGATCTCCATGCACTCGTAAGACGCAGTTGTCTCCAAGACGAACACGACCAACATCTTCAACGATTAACGGGCCACCGCAGCTTGGAGATACGTGATGTACAAAGCGTGATTAATTCTAATGGCTCTTGTCGCCATTGTTGATAATAGCGTCAGCGCATCCGATAGCGCGACATTGGCGCACCAGTGATGAGCGAATTACTAAGACTTCAGCGTGGCGACGTTCACCAAAATATCTTCAAAAGGTGTTGATTTAGCTCGGTGTGCAATCACGAAAACTAGTCACAAGCCATGAAACCTGTAAGTGCGTGCAAGTTTTAGTAGTCCTTCGGGATGGATTGTGCGAAGGACACAGCTCTGTGCATTAAGGTGCAGCAGCGCGGATACGATAGTCAACCTTACCTGGCATATTCCAGGGCCAAGGAGCTGTCTGGTACGACAACGTTTCTTCTTCTTCTTCGGCACGACACGCCCGTCGCATTCTGACGGCAGACAAGTTGATGTTGACGAAATCGTCACCAGTGTATTCACAAGAGGATAGTTCATTCAGCTCCACTCTCTCCAGCACGAAATAGTGAGCAAGGAACTTGGAGCAGCCCGTGACTACAGCTTTGTAGTCTTTGTAGTGCGTCTACTGGAAAACGTGCGTATTGAAACGACAGAAACCACTCGAGAGTCTCAATGTTTATGACGACGTCACAGTTGCATCGAAAGATGGTCACTGACGGGTAGTTAGTTGATTGTATTACGTGATTGAATGGTTATCGATCAATACAATCAATCACCCGTCAAAACGTCAAACGTCAACGATGGTCGGTCATTAGAGTGCATTAGCTCTCGAAGAGGCACATTGGAGCACACATAAAGATAAAGGACAACCAACGGTTGAAAGAAGTGTTGTGTAACCCTTTTCAAACATGGTTTAGTATCTAACTTCCAACAACAATGTCCATTGAGGTTTGCAAGTAGCTGAAGCTTTAAGGGACATAGATTGAAATGCAACATGGTAGTGATAACGCGTTTGAGGCTAGACTATCTACATTGGGTTCATTCTTATGGTCATTCATTATTCATAAGAAGCTGAATGAGACGAATCATTCTGATACTTACTATCGATCGATCAATGTCGTGTTCATTTCAACTATTTTATCTTGTGCGGCAGCTGATACAGGCATAGACGAAGAATTTCAAGATACATCTTCTAGTACCAAACTACTCTTGCGCGAAAAACAACATGGGTATATATTGATACAACACCTATATGGTCGAGTTTGTAGGGATACTACTACCTCGTCCTGCTAAACGATCATTGCCGTTTTGCAAGAAAACGCTTCAAATCACCAGAATAGCATTCGCGTTCCGACAACTACATCACTCGGATCGTATGATAGTGGCCACAAAGCCACAAGCTCCCCAATCACCAATACGTCACGCAGATGTATTGTAGAGCAGTATAGTGCACAATATTGCTCTACAACACATCTGCGTGACGTATTAGATCAGGACACTTCTTCTCCTCAGTCCTTTGATAATATGTAGCGAGCGATACGGCGCAACGAGGCGATATGGAGTAGTCATCTCGTCCATGCAATCAATGCACTGATCCCTGAAACGCGTGAGAGTGGCAAGAAGAGCGCTCTTTGTCAATCTTGCTCATGAGGAGTTCATCAGTGTTGGTGGCAAGTTCTGACGTTGCATTTTGAATGTGTGCAACCGAAACCCAGCCAAAATCATGGTTCAGCATATTCAGCGATTGTAAATCAAGATTACGAGCCACAAGCGTCTTGCCTGCGTCACGGTACCGTCCTGTGACTTCACGAAACGCTGCAACAGCCGAGAAATCGACAAAAACACAGTCGCCCATGTCCAAGATAACGATTCGTGGATCGTAGAGAACGTCAAAGAACTCACGAAAAAAAGTCACGGATGAAAAGAGCAGCTGGCCCTTTAGGTAGTATACCTTGGCTTCCTCACAATTCATGAGCACTTCGTGGTCGGCATGTGCGCTAGCAACAGGCACAACTTCCATACCCGTGTGAAATGTGAGCTGTCGGCCACTCTGCCATCCATTGACGAGGCACTGCCAGATAACACCAACAATAACTGCGATGGCAAGATTCATTGCAGCAGCAAGTACGGTCACAAGGATGATTGTGATGGCATCTTCGATCTTCACGCGAAAAATGAGCTTCAGAGACGGCCAACAGAATGTATGAATGACGATCACGAAAAAGAATTCCCGTAAGGCATGCCACTGGCACTTTCTCAATCAATGAGCTGGCGAAAAACACGACGAGAAAGGTAAATACACCGCCCATAAAGGACGACAGACGGTAAAGAGCACCGTTTAGCACGTTTCCATTGGACTGTGCAATCATTGAACAGCCTCCCATTCCGGAAAATACCCCACACAAAATGTTGCCAATACCCTGCGCAATACACTCTTTGCGCGTGGCCCTCTGCGACAGCTGCTCCTTCTTTAGATCAACGACAGATTGTAGTGTCATAAGCGACTCAAAAAGTCCGATGGCCATAATACTCGCCGCTGTAGAGAGCACAACTCCCCAGTCTTGCACATCGTCAAACTTGGGGACATTGAAAGCCGGCAAGCCACCGTTCAACGGCGATGTGTCCCCGATCGTACGCAAATCATATCCAAGCAGTGGCCGATTAATGGCAAATTCAAAACCTACACCAATGGCCGCTGCCACAAGCGTTGGTGGGATCAAATGGCCGATATACGGCGTTCTGGGGAAAAAGTGCATGATCGCCATGGTCAAAAGAATGAGTCCTACCGTGATCCACGTCGTCGGAGAAGACACACTCATCCACTTGAGATCACCTGCAATTTCACATTCTCCAAAGTTCATTGTTTCATACTTGCACACCTCCATGGTTGTCTTTTGTGAGAGAAACATCATAAGTGCCAGACCGTTTAAAAACCCAATATGTGCGGTCCTAGGGATCATTGAAAAGAGTTTAGAGAGTTTCAAGAGACCAAATAAAAGTTCCAAGATGCCAGCAATTGTCACAGCTACAAACAAATGCTCTAGTCTCTCCTTGTACGTCAAGTACGCGAGGGACCCGGTGCTACTGGTAATCGTCGGGATCACCATCGCAACAGCTCCTGCAGCACCTGCGACCGTTGCTGGTACGCCACCAAATAAACTTACAGTCATCCCAAGAAAACCTGTAGCATATAATCCATTGAGTGGATCTAAATTGGCTGCATAGCTAAAAGCTATTGTCTCCGGAATCATTAAGAGCATAGCCGCCATACCACATAGAATTTCACGTTGAAAAATAACAAGATGTTGCCAGTAAAAACAACTTGATGCCTTGATATGACGATGAAACGATGCAGTTACTTCAGTAGGAGATCTCGTACACTGCATTGTGTGTGCATGTTGTTGTAAAGTACGAACGACACGATGGACACCATGCCCAAGACTCTCGTTCCACTCATCACATGGTGAATCGTTTTTCATAGCGTTCTTCGACTTGAGGACTGTATAGTGAGAAGCTTGCGTGGAGAGTGGGTCGGAGAGACGACAACAAGGAGAACAAGTTGGAGAGAAAGTATTGAGATCACGAAAATGCGTCTCGTGCTCATGCTCGTGAGTGACTTCACTATGTACCATGGTTCCAAATATTAAGAAATGACGATAGTGGTGGACTGGAGTTAATTTAGGATAAGATGAGGTCGGATAGACATATGGTCCTATTTATTTTGTAGACACGAAGGCAGCTCGGCCTAGGACAGTTCCAACTTGCAACAATTTGATTGTTGCTGTCTACGGTCGCAGAGGATTTACTAGAACAGCCGTGTTTGTTACAGCTTTGATCATGCATTCTTCATATGTGAATCATCAACCTATGGACATTTGTCATCGAGATAGCAGGATTCATGTACATCATCAGCGAGTCGACATGCTTTACTATTGAGTTATCCTCCTTCGCTTCAAATTGGAACAACTTGTGCACTGTTGTGTGGATCTGGAATGAAAAAGTGGAAACCACTGATATCGACATGACCTTGCGGTTTCTCAGACTGCAAACTGATCTCCAAGACACATCCTATTTGTGTAATTCAAGGAGCTGCCATCGCCCTAACTTCCCCACTCGAATGCTCGACGACAACGCTAGACACCTTGAGGCAGCTTTACGAGACCACAGAAGCAGTGCCGTGTCTCGCATGTCTTGATCATCTAAGTGGATCTCAGACACATCCTACAGAAACACCATTGGGTCATATAACACTTGCTTCATCTCTCTCGTGTTCATACTCGTCCTTCTGACAGCATTAATTTCCACCTACGGCATCATCTCTCTCATCACTCTTGTCTATTGACAGTAATCCAGCCGGGTGGTGCATATCGACACAACTTGAGCGGGCGTCAGCAAGAAGATGTCGCATGCCTCCAAAATAGTAGTCACTTGTTCCAAGGCACCAACACTATCGCCTGTCAATGCCACTGATTCATCGTCAAGAGCCTTGCAGACCTCGCGCAGTCGTGGTGCAGGCATTTCCAGGAGGTGGCATACCTCCCGCGTGAGTTGAAAATACGACCGTGGTAGTGCCTTTGATGATCCTGCCGCGAATATGGCTGTAAGGGACTTAACGTCCTCGACAAATTGGCACTTTCCCATACTGCTCAAATGAGTGACCTCTGTCGAAGAAGGCTTGGAGAACGCATCAAACAGAGCGCGATCGAGTGCCGACGCGAGCGGCTTCCAAAGAGCGGACGAGCACATAGGGAGAAGGAACCTGCGCGCGCAAGACAGCACATTGCTAATGAGCGTGTAGCAGCCCACCAACTCAGAAGACAATGTGTACAGATGGGTATCGTTTGCATCATCATCGCGTGTGTCTGTCCAGAAAGCGCTGCACGCATAATAGAGACGCAAAGCACACAAACACACATGAGACAGACACATGAGACAGACGATAACAACCAACAAATGAAGCGAACACATGGTGCAGCCTCCGCACCTTAAATGGTAGGCCTCCACATCACGTTCCACTGCCCGCACTAACGTATCCGTGGCACATTCCAGCAGCTTCGTAGCTAGTGTCCGAAGCTCCAAAATCTGCCGTTCAAAAATAGTCTGTGAGAACAAAGCTGCTTCAGGATCGTCTTGTTGTTCCTCCGGATCGCACATCGGCCTGTTGTCGTTGGCGATCGCACCAGTAGCCGAAGGAGAAGTGTCAACAGATAGGGCTTGAGCACTTTGCTCCAAAACGTTGTCATCGGCCTTTGCACGGCTGAAAAGGTTCTTCATCGTTTTGGATCCAGCCGAATATGCTGCGGATAGAGCGGCAGTAGGCCCGATCATGGCACCTGGTCCAGCAAGCGCTTGTCGAACAGCCGTCGCTTCCTCTGTGGCAAGTACAACAGCTGAAGCACGTGTAAACAGTTGCTTCGAGTAGGCCATGTGCATTTGATGCACTTGAGCTCGAGTGGTCTCTGATCTCGCAATTTTTCTGGAAAGCTCCAAAAATACACTACTTTGCTCCCATGACGCCAATGTATCGGCTACATGCTGTAGTGCATTCACCACCACAAACAACTCTCCCCAAACAACCACGGTTCTCGCGTCTGTAGCCTTCTTGGTCAATACACTAATCAACAGGCGTCCACGAGCTTCGCAAAGCTGTCGAAATCGTCGCAAAAGCGGCGTGTGCACCTGCATCACGTACAGGCAACGGTGCTCCTCCGTCTCCATGTGCGTAAAACGATACGAGAGGAAATCAAGCAAAGCTATAAAGTGAAGCGCTACTGGAGGAATAAGCTCTGTGTCAAACTCAGATGCAGCGCCTTCCATGTGTCCGTATCCGTTGACTTCTAGCTGCCACATTGGATCCTGTTTTTCACAAAAGACGCCAAATTCGGACTCACCACTAGAAACTTCCACTTCAAAGATCGATGACAGTACACGATACGCGTATTTGACGTCGGCATTTGTCCAGGCGAATAAAACGTCACTGCTTGATGTAAACATATCGATACAACGTGGATACGCACGACGATCAGTACTTGTCCAAGAATCGTAGCCAATGTCTTCGTCAATAGTCTGCTCAAAGAGAAGAATCTCGTCCAACGTATGGCACAAGAGAGGTGGATGCTGAGCAACAAATACGACAACCTAGTTAGAGCAAGTACGGTGCAACGCTACAAGATGTATCATCTTCGCACCGCCAAGAGCGTAGGCAAGTCGTGCGTAAGCTTACGACTGGCACACCTGACGAGTCCACGCAGTAAGAGAATCTGTGCATCCCAGCAATGGATTTTGTCGCGGTGGCGATGCAGCTCCGGCGTGAGTGCATGAGCCAGAAAACGTGTGTGCACACTTGTTTGCTCCAGCACGTAACTCAAGTACCACTCTGGCTTCGTCAGTCGGTTCGTTGCACTCTCAGCTCGTTCAAAGTGGTAGTGAAAGCGCAGCAGCAGTGGCTTTATCACACAATCCATTGCCCACAGATTCGTCGTCGCTAATGCAGACTCCGATAGGTGACTAAGTTGCAAAACCAATAAATACTCAAACGCCTTGGACACATCGTGTAGCTCGACCTCCTAAGCGACAAAAAAGTAGCCACATGGACGTCAAAACTCAACTAAAGAGACTCTTCTTGTCTCAAACAAGATAATAATCATTCGATCAATACCTTGTCAATCAGTTCCTGTTGTGTAATAAATGGTTTGGGCCACCCGACTTTTTCTAATGCCCCTTGTAGCTTGTTTACACCAATATGGTGTAAATGTACCAAAAGTTCTTGAACTCGCTGGTTTGCTTCCTTCTGTGAACAATAAACAAGAGCAATACATACGTAAACAAACACAAAGTCAATGAGGTCGTCTCCGTCGACGCTCGTTTTTCTCACTCATAATGTCACTGAGGGGGAGGGGGGCTCCAAAACTCACACGAACGATTGAAAATTCCACTGGCACAGCAGCTGCAAATGTTGTAAAATCTCGAAACGTTTTCAGGACGTCCAAAGTGGCTTCACCGGCCTCATCTTTCACTTGTTGACTCAATTTTTCCACTTGGACTAGTGTTTCAAGATATTTGGTACGACTCTGAAGAGTCTGAAGCTTATATAGACTTGGATGAATGATGCTCTTTAACTGTTGAAAATGCTGCTCGGCAACTGTAAGAGAAGAATCAAGTGACTTGAGTTGATTCAGCATTGCGAAAACATCGTCGTGCTCTTCAACTGTAAACGTGCGGCTCCGCGTGATAGGAACATTCAACATCGTCATGATTTCCTTGAGATCCTCTTGCTTACGAGAGTGTAGTTCCAAGAGTGCTACAGACACATCATCCCAATTGACTTCGTTTTCCGATACATCTCGAGGTATGGAAGCTAATAGCGTTAAACTTAAGGTCGATAGCAGCGACATGATGTAAAACTGACGTTAAAATATAGCGTTAAAATGTCGAGTTTTAAGGAGATGCAGCGTTATGCTATATGATAGGCTCAAGAGATGTCTTATCATAAACCAAGTAATTACCGGTATGAACAATCTTGCAATTGCGGTATATACTCGTTTTTAACTTTCGGACTTTTTTGAACGCATTCAGCAATTAAAAAACCTTAGCAAATAGGATTATATCTATAGAATGTAATTTGGCATTACAATGCTTCTCATCTGATCTAAGCTGGTGCCATTCGTCATTCATAATATAGCCACAATCCAGCGGAAGACAAGGCA